GGGCACACTGCCGGCTCATGTTCAGCCGGCTGTCGACCAGCACCCCCAGGTCCTTTTCTGACAGGCAGCTTTCCACCCACTCTTCCCCAAGCCTGTAGCGCTGCATGGGGTTGTTGTGGCCGAAGTGCAGGACCCGGCACTTGGCCTTGTTGAACCTCACACAGTTGGCCTCGGCCCATCGATCCAGCCTGTCCGGGTCCCTCCGCGGAGCCTGTCTAAAGGCTTCCTAAAGGTCCTGACAGCCTGGCAATTTAGGCTGCTTGGTATGAAACCTGCCTGCGTGGCACGGCTCCTGTTGTAGCGTGAGACTGAAAACAACAGCTCGAGCACCGCACTCAGGTACTTCGCTCAGCTTTTCTGGCTGGTCCGTATATCAGGAAGAGTTGTTTTGGCTTTCTCACCCAGGAAATTCCCAGCTCCTGCATGTTGGGAATGCAGGGTCCGTAGTTGTATGTAGTCCTCAGTGTCTGGCTGCTTCATTTTGTTCCATGCTTGCACAGATCTATGCATAGTAACGAAACAGCGCAGTTTTCCTGCCGTTCTGCTGCACTGAAAAAGCTGTTTCTGTCTGCCGAGTACATTTTGTCTGTAATGGTCAATAACCATAAAAACGTAAGCAGTTCTGCTCAAGTTGAGCTTTCATTACATCCCTAACTGATCTTGTTTGTTACTGGTGTTTCCCAATACCCCCATTACTTTTAGATCTTCTGTTCTGTTTACTCTTCTTTCTTGCTTGCCAAATCTCCTAAACGTATCCTTTTTTTTTTTCTTTATACTGCATAGAAAAAACATTCTGTACCACATCTGCGTATGGATTGCCAATCGTTGCCCTAATCTTTATGTCACTCACTCTGTACCTCTGTAATTAAAGGTTTCCAGTAACTAGCAATTTGGCCATCTGAGGCAACGCTGGTATGTGTACAATCGTTTAACAATCTAGTGCTTTTTTCCTGGTTAGGTGACTTAAAAACTACTGTGCTGCTACTATCACATTCCTGCTTGAAGCCCCTCCAGTCACGAACCATGCCGCCTCAGCGGCATTTGAAGGTTCTTCCATAACCCCTTCTCAGTTGTTGCCACAAATAATGTTACGCTGTCTCTGGTTCTGAAGGGCCTGACGGTTACGATTGCCAGTCTTCAGGTTTGGGTTGTGCCGCTGCAATTTTACTGATTTGACTTCAATTAGTTGCTTGTTTTAGTCCGATCATTTGACCAGACGCCAGTCAGTGCACGTAATCATAGACAGATGCATAAGGGGAGAACATAACTCTTCAGGGCAGACTTCTGTTCCCCAGGCAGCTTTTATTTCTGAATACTGGGCACTCCAGTGCCCATAAACTAAAAGTTTATGCACATAATTTACCTTTATTTGCTTATAGTGAGTATTTATGATTATTTACATTTGTTAACAGCAAAAGAACTGACTTGAAGAAAGAGCAACAACGGAATTTGGATGGTAAAGCTTTGCCAAACGCCGTCCAAAAAAAAGATGAGAAGCGGGGACAGACGAATGCCCAGAAGCACCTGAAGGGTGGAAGTTACTACCGCAAGTCTTGAACAGTCGACACGGGTCGGGCCCAGTTCCTGAGGGGGTGGCTGAAGGCCTAAGCGGGTACAAAGTCAACCGTACTCGCAACGAGGATCTTCGCAAGTAGAGAGGAAAGCCCTTTCCGACACAAAACTGGGACGAGGTACCGGGAACCCTGCACAGCTACTTCACCCTGGTTTGTCTCGGTCACCGGCGAGAGGAGCGGGCTGCTTACGGAAATGAGACGTGCGAAAGATCTGCCGTGGCTCCGACACGAAATGCTCTCAAGCCCAATAACCGGTTCCCTTAGAAATGGATAAAAATACCACCCGCCTCGCCTCCCTCAGGGCGCCGGGGCAGTTCGCCGGCGGGCTCCCCCGCCGCGTCCCCCGCAGCCGCCCTCGGCCCGCGGTG